CGCCTCCCACTCTCTCCCTATTTATTTCAAAACCCCCTTCCCCTCCCCCTTTTCTGATGAAGGGTCTAGGCCCGAAACGTCAGCCTCTCTGCTCCTATGATGCTGCTTGGCCTGCTGTGTTCATCCAGCCCTGCACCTTGTTGTCAATGATATAGAGTGGTTAGGTTGAATGGTTGGTCTTTGTGCTGTAAATCCCATTTAAAAGCTCCTTAACACACACTAATTATCTTTTATCTCTTTTTGTCTGAACAATTTTCCACTCACCTTGTTAATGAAGTCTGAAGAGGAAATCGAGCAGTTCTCCCTCACCACCACCCAAGAAGAAAAAGAAGAAGAAATCGGGTCACTACAAAAGTCGGTAAATATCTCTTTATAACATTTTACAAATGCATCATGATTTCATAAATAGAGAAGAGAGATCCAAAATTAGCTGTAATAAACATGAGAAATTTTACATCTAAATGAACAAAACTCTATACTTAAACAAAATGTTATTTTCTTCTTTCAAAGTATTTTCATTTACAAGGCTGCTCTATGCAGCCAGTTCAGGACCTAAGCCCCGAAATGGAATTCACAGAGGCATCATTGGAAGAGAGACCTGAAGAGCTGTGCCTTCTTATCATTGTGATTGATCTGTGCACAAAACATTCATGTAGAGTGAGCCATCTGTCTTTTTCTCCCCTCTGGTTTTTGTCGAATAGTTGATCTGTCTTTCACAAACAGTGAAAGCAGGGGAATAGGATGTTGGCAGATGGACTCCCATATGAAGAAACCGTAGAGGATCTCACAAGGTCAGGTTGTCCCAACGAGTCTCCTAGATGAAACTGAAGATGCACAGTGCCCCAGAGAGGAGACCACATGATTTTTTTTTAAGAAGTCTTTAATTACATGGAACATATCCAGATTACCCACCTATGGAGTCTTACTTCTTTGGTTGCCAACAGCTTTGAATGTTCAATGGCCAATTAGCTAACACTTGGTTTCCATAATTCCTTTTGCATGTGAGACTTTAAAGAAGTGAATAGTGAAGTAAACAGCAGATGGTTAGTAAGGCATAATCAGACACCAAATGTTCTGATTAACCGTGTTGACACTTCTTTCCACACATTCAAAATTTCACACAAACTATAAGTAGAGCTGCCTGCTGAAATGAAAATGATTTAATCATGCAGGCAAGTTGAAAGGATAACTTTTCAGTTTATGATTAAAGACATTAATATATTAACTGAAATTTAAAGTGTCTTCTCCCACATGCCTCCCCGCCCCCACAAACGTTAGGGTCACCTCTTCAATGTCTGCTAAGCTTAAATGCAGCTTGAGCTTTTCCAGTGACCACTTTGATTGCAAATACATCCAATGAAATTCTGAATTCATTGTCAGCTGTGTGGTGGAAATCCCAAAAGCTTCAAATTGTCTCATCTGTAGCTAGGATACCTTTGTGCTTAGCCCCTTAGCTACGGTTTGAAAATTTGGCTCCACAAAAAAAAAACACCCATGGAATCTGAAGAAAAGAGAGGCAAACATCTTTGCATCAAATAGATTTTCCTTCATGTTGTTTATACATTTAGGGATCAAATGTGACCATAGTAAAAAAGAGGCGATGGCCTGGTGGTATTATCGCTGGACTGTTAATCCAGAGACCCAGATAATGTTCTGGGGACCTGGTTTGAATCCTGCCACAGCAGATGGTGGAATTTGAATTCAATAAATATCTGGCATTAAGAGTGTAATGAATACCATAAATCCATTGTTGATTGTTGGAAAAACCCATCTGGTTCACTAATGTCTATTAGGAAAGGAAACTGCATCTTTACCTGGTCTGGCCTACATGTGACTCCAGACCCACAGCAATGTGATTAACTCTTAACTGCCCTCTGGGCAATTAGGGATGGGCAATAAATGCTGCTGAGCCAGTGACACCCTCATCCCGTGAATGAATAAAGGAAAAAAAAATTACATTGCAGCATTTACAGTGTGATAGACAAGGAAAAGTATGTATCTGGGAATGTAGACTGTAAAGCAATAGTGAAACACAGTGTATCATCGATGAATTATACCTCAGCTTGAATGATCTGCCTTCCATAATCAGTCTGTTCCATATTGTACTGTGTAAGACAAACACATGTGCTGCAGACCACCATAATTGAACTAACATCTGCATGATCTATCAGTCTTGAAAGTTCCAATTGACCTAATGATCCACAGTCCTTTCTGGAAAGAGAATCCCGATTTCCACAACCTTTTGTAAGAAAATTGCTTCCTGATTTTGGACCTGAATGGCCTAGTTCTAATTTTAAGATTATGCAACCTTATGTTTGATTCTCTTGTCAGAGGAAATAGGTTTGCTGGATCTGTCTGATCAAATCCTTTAACATATCAAAAAACTCAGTAATACTTCCACTTCAACTGATTATGTTTAGCAAAACACAAGTTTACATAAACTATCCCAATAATTTAACCCACTAAGCCTCAGTTGGAATCTGTTGAATGTGCTGAATTATCTGAGTGTCTAAAGGTTTAAATGATCTTTAACTGGAACTACTTGGTCAAATTTATTTACAGCAGAAATCACATTAAAGCAGGAAGACACAGTTCAATATAAACAATTGTCAGACAATTAAACCATCAACGATTTTTAACACTTAAGCCAGAAATGACTAAACTAAGGCTTGCTTAATCATCTATTAAATTGTTTTTGGTGTTTCACAGCAATTCATAATGCAGCATCTATTTTCGTTCATTATCTTTGCAAATTCGCTGTTCTGTCTTTCAAAGTAAGCCTTACTTGATTTCTGAACGTGAAGAGTCCCCTGTTTCATATAACTGTCTGCCTAACAGCATTGGAGATCCGCCTACAGAACACAGATTGCAGCAGTTCAAGAAAGCCACTCGCCACCACCTTCTCAAGGGCAATCAGAGATCAACAATAAATACTGTCCCAACCAGCAAGCCCCACATCGCATGAATGAATTTTTAAAAATCATCCATGCTGATTCTGAGCAGTAGAGGACCTCTACTTTAATTAATTAAGATTATCCATAATAATTGGAGACACATTTTAAATGGCAACATACCGCCATAGAAATGAATGGAGGACATATTGACTTCTAAAAAGACTTAAACTAAAAGCTAGTTGAGATTCAAAGTAAATACATAATTTAGCTCAGCCATTTTCACTGTATTTCTTGTGAAAATACAAGTGACATTAAATTCTATTCTATTCATTAAATACATCCAAGAAGGAATGAAGGAATCCCCAAGATTAAATAACAATAATTTTCAAGTTAAAATATCTCTGATTAATGTTTTTAAGCACTGTGAGCAGTACTTATCACTCATAATCAAATCAGGTGACAAAATAAATCCTCACATGGCAGCATCTTATTGAGTACAAACTCTTGAAGAAAAGTCTTCAGAAACATAGGTACTTACCACATACTGGCATCGATTAATAGGTGGGCTTTTTGCCGAGGGCAGTTTTTCACAGTTCTTGCCACAGTTTTGTCATGCAGATATACTTAGAAGTGGTAACATTATTAGCTCAGTTACTAGTACTAACTCATTTTAATATATTGTAATTAGAAGGTGCCCTTACACAGATCTCTGGGAAACATTGCTCACCTACATTTTCTAGTTTAAAAAGACTCCCATACTTCACTTTCTATCCTTCACTATCCCCATTGTACTCTGAATAACATTACCCTACTTTTAATGATCAATGTCTGTGAGGTTGTACAGGACATTGATGCGGCCTCTTCTGGAATACTGTGTGCAGTTCTGGTTGCCCTGTTATAGGAAGGATGTTATTAAGCTGGAGAGGATTCAGAAGAGATTTACCAGGATGTTGCTGGGTATGGAAGTTTTGTGTTTATTTGGAAAGGCTGGGACTTTCTTCACTGGAGCGTAGGAGGTTGAGAAGTGACCTTGTAGAAGTTTATAAAATCATGAAGGGTGTAGATAGGGTTAATGGTAGTTTTCTTTACCTTAGGATGGGGAATTTCAGAACTAAGGGGGCATTTTTTAAGGTGAGAGGAGAGAGATTTAAAAAATACATGAGGGGCAAATTTTTTACACAGAGGGTGGCTTGCATGTGGAAGGAGCTTCCTGAGGAAGTGGTAGATGTGGGCAAAATTACAACGTTTAAAAGACAATTGGATAAGTACTAACAACAAGAAAGGTTTGGAGAGATATGGGCCAGGAGCAGGCAGGTGGAACTAGTTTAGTTTGGGATTATGTTTGGTATGGACTGGTTGGACTGAAGAGTCTGTTTCCATGCTGTATGACTCTATGAAAGGAATTCTCTTGATTCACCATGTAATGTAAATTTAAATGGTTCAATGTACAAAGATACTACAGTCTCAGATTTTTCTGAAGAAGGGTCTAGGCCCGAAACATCAGCCTTCCTGCTTCTCTGATGCTGCTTGGCCTGCTGTGTTCATCCAGCTCTACACCTTGTTATCACAGTCTCAGATTACTGTGCATAATACGTGGAGGGTTTGGATACATTTTAAAGCCAATCCTTTTGAAATAGAGTTAACTTCAATCAACATTACTCTAAATAGAGATTGTATATATGGTAAATGTATAGAGAGGCTTTGATGTAGTAAAATGTCCCAAGTCACAAAAGTGAGGTACGTTAGAATTTTGAATAGACTGATGGAACAGGATGTGATTAATTAAAGCAAATTGGTTTTGATGAATGGATGTCCACATCTGGCAGTTACGGGTTACTGAACCACATAAACACGGTGTGACATCCGCTACCTACATGAAAAAAAATGATGCAGAAATCGATGTAACTTCCATTCTGAGATCAATAGAATTTTGTAAAGTAAAGCCTTTGAGGAATATGTTACAAAAGTGGGAATTTGGAGTTGTGGGGCAGATCAACCATGGTGATGTTGAATTGTGGAACAAACATTGTGGGAGTGACTGGCTTACGCTCATCCTGGTGTTACTTATTAGAATGTGTCAGAAGGTTATTAGGAACAACAATAGAAGCCTCCAGTTTATGTTGTTCATATGAGTTTGCAAAATATTCAGAACAACTTAATACCACATTTGAATGGAGCGATTTCCATTGATAATTCCCATGACTTGGCTAGTTTGCCTACATTGTCACTATTGAGTCAGTCTTATTCGACTCCAGCCCAAGCTCTCTTCAATATTTTCACCGATTAATAAATATCCTGGATTTTGACGAAACAACTTTTAGATTCCATTCTGAAAAAGGCCTTGGATAAATTTCCAAGGAAGCTCGGATTCTTATTTATATTCAACTGCAATCTTGTAACTGCAGGACTGATCAAAGGGTAACACTGCGGATTATTAGATTTTTGGGAGCTGCGTGAAACTCCT